AAATTTTAGGGTAATGTTCCCTATCGAAGTACAACATAAATATTTGAAATTCAACCTCTAGATACGCGCGGTTCCTGCGCATGAGCACTTAAAAGTTTTGGCGGGAAAATTGCCCCACTGAAAAGTTAGGTCATTTTCGAAGAACGACCAATACATGAAAATTGCTCATTTCCTTTATGCGAAAATTACGATGGTTTACGCTAGTGAATGCAAAAGATAGTTGTTAAGCAACAACCGTTCATGCAGTCAGCGACCATAGTCCTTCATGTCTGGTGCAAAAACATATGATCGCACCGGCAAGCCTGGTGCATTCCAACTTGGATTGAAATTACGACACCAAGAAAATCTCCGCAAATTCTTTGCTGTTCCATAAACTTTTGGTCTTTTACTACATTTTGAGTTATCATTCTGCTAAACTTATATTTCGTGAATAATTAAGCATCCGTAGATCGATTGTCTCGGCTTTGGCACCCGCGTCAAGCCTTTATTAAAGTGCATAAAATGGCAGTCATCGTTCTCACCTATCCTCCGCCAACACCAGTCTATAAAACTCTTGAGCAAATTAGCAGCCAGTAGAAAAATAAAAAGATACTGAAGAATGCTTTTAAAGTTTTAGCAAATTTCTTATTTTAGTCCTGAAAAAAGGTTAAAAATCGTGAAAAAACTGTTTCAACTTTCTAAAAATTGCAACAGGACAGCAACATTTCTGAGAATGAAAAAAGACGATTGATGCTTAAAGAGAACCAACTGAAAGCGAACTGCCTAAAAGTGCTCAATTTCTAGGCGACATGCTGGAGCTAATTTTGCAAACTGCCACTCTCCATCACCAAAATTATTTCGACTCTCCGCCGCCATCCATGTTGTTATAATGTAACTGCAAACGCAGCCGTGTTAGGCGCAGCTGTAATGAGCCAATTGCCATCATTTAGAATATGTCGCCTGTGTCTCAAATACCTTGAATACAATTTCGCGCAGAAGGTTGTTTCACCTAAGTATATGTGTGTATGTGTGCGTTTGTATATGTATATGTGAGTATATTGTGTACGAGTGATTGGAGTTTGCAGCAACTTTTTCTCGCACAAAAAAAAATTAAATAGCAACGCGCACCAGGGAAGCCGGTGCGATCATGCATTTTTTGCAATTCCGTCCACCAAACGATTGCCTGCTAATGATTTTCACTGCTCTGCATTTTGGTCAGTGCAAAAATAATTGAAATATTGTCTGGTTCTTAAATTACGAAATTTCACACTAAAAACTTCATGCGCACGAGATAATTTCCTTATCAAAAGTTTCGCGGAGCCATACGTGGTACCCAGGTCTGACTGAAGGCTAAATTCAAATTTGCGAGGTCGTGCGTTGGTAGAGGAAATCACCTAAAATTTCAGGTTCCCAGCTTCCGCGGTTCCGGAGATAACAATTTTTCCCGTCGAAACTTTCGCGAGGCCAGTGACACTCGTACGCGCGGAAAAGCTGGACTTAAAATTGCAGGACTGCATGTGGAAAGAAGACATTACAGTAAAATTTCAGCTTAGCTTTCGTGGTTCCCGAAATAATAATTTACCCTCAAAAATTTTCACGGGGCCGTAGGTGGCACCCGAGAACGCGGAAACGCTGAATTTGAATTTGCAAGGTCATGTTTAGGCAGTGGGTCATTACATTAAATTTCAATTTCCTAGATTCCGTTGTTCCCGCGATAATAGCTTACCAGCAAAAATTTTCACGAGGCTGTTCATATTATCCACAGGCAGAAGAAGGCTGAATTTAAAATTTCTGGGTAGCACGTGGGCAGGGGAAATGCCCACAAAATTTCAACCTTCTAGCTTTCGTGGTCCTCGTGATAATAACTTTACCTGCCCAAATTTTTACGGGGCCGTCCTGTTACCCGCGGGTACGGGGAGATTGAATTTAAATTTGCGCCGTTACAAGTGGGTGCGGAACGTTCCCCTAAATTTTCAGCTTCCTAGCTTTTGTGGCTCCCTAGTTAAAAGTTGCGGATACATACAAACAAACACACACACATAGACAATCTCGTGACAATATGTGCTTTGTATTGCTGCTACACAGCACAAAACGCATAAAAAAAAGCATTATCACGGACTTTGCGTATTTTGTGATTCTTTTTTGGTTTCTGATTTTTCTTTATGTTCAGTGACCAAAGTTTTCACATCACGGCGATGCAAAATTGTATCTCGTGTCAGTGCCTCCAGAGCTGCTGTAGCAATTGCTTCTTGACGCCGTTGTCGCAGCGCATCACGATACTGCACTATAAGCACTTTTGCTAATCTTTAAAAGATAATTGGCCAGCGCATCAGCATCAGCTGCCGCTGCAAAGATGCATTGTTTGCACTGTTCCCTACAGGTTTTTATCGCTAACGACAGTGTTTTTCCCGGCAGATGCTTTTAGGTAAAAGAAATGAGGTTGGCTACCGCGACTATCAGAAAACATTCCCTCAAAATTCCAGCTTTCTAGCTTTTTTGGTCCCCGAGTTAGCAACTTATCCACCAGAGGCTTTCACGAACCCGTACGTGAGAACCACGCGAGCATAAACGTCCATTTTAGGCTAGGACGTGCAAATGTGCGCAAATTTTGTTGCCGAAGTTTTAGGCTCGTAGCTTTTGTAGGTCTCGAGATGAAAATTCGGTACAGATGCACATACAGATACAGACAATCCTATCGACAATACGCTTTTTACATTGCATTGATGCAAAAAACGCATGAGTTGAATAGACTATTCGTAATGGCACAGTCAGCGAGAAGTCTTTCCTTTTGTTTCGATGGAAGACTTCAGTGCTGAAAATAGATCGTACGACTATGAAAATTAGCAAGGGCATAACAGAATTTAGCCAAAAAAGCGTAAAATTCTTTTCATGCTAAAAGACTGCAA